TGTTTATTCTATGCTCCCCCCCCCCCCCCCCCCCCCCCCCCCCTCTCTCTCTCTCTCTCTTAGAACCAGTAACCTGAACTCACGTCCTCTTGAAGGGGTTCTCCTCGGGGGGAGGTGGTGGGAGATCAGGGGGAGCGGTCAGCTGGACTGTTGCATGGGAAGCAGCACATATGCGTGAGAGTTTGCGGCGGCTTTTCTCCACAACACATGCGCATTTCTTCAGTTTAAAGTGTGCAAATGAACACGCAAATAAACATAAACCGCAACAGCCAACTCGACAAGATTTTTAAAGAAAAGAAAAGAAAAACTTCCAACCTCTTTCTTGTTAGATCTCTGTCATCTTGAAGCCAAAACTTAACCGCAACTTTTTTTTCTATTAAGCAAATAAAATTTCAGGAGTGTTTGCAGCCGAAAAACAAACGACGAGACTTATCTGTGCGGGGCGGGCCCGCGCTGCGGTGGAAGTGGATTGAGGTCCCGCAAAGAATTGCCTGGAAGAGCTGTCAACTTTCGAGCCTTTCAGTCTTTCACTTCCACGAGAGAAAATGGGAGGGCTGCGCGCGCTTCACCGGGGACGAGACATCATCATCACCATCACCATCATCATCATCATCATCATCATGGCGCTATCATCTAAAATGAGCCCTCGGCAGTGCGCAGCCTCCTGCTGTGAGAGGAAATATTTAGATGAGTCCAAACAGTTTAGAGTGCAGCGGCGACGCTCCGCCGCGTTGGGCCTTCGGGATTCTCTGACACACCAACACCGACAAAAACTAAACAGAGAGCGCGCGCCTGCAATCTGCGCCTCAAGCCTGTTTATCCCGAGGAGAAGTTTGCGCGTGTACCTGCTCGGATTCCTCCTCGTCATGCCCAGAAGACAGCTCTGCTCTGCAGTAACAGTCTCCCTCCGCGCCGCTCGCCCTGCGCCGCCGCCGCTGCCTCCTGCAGACGCCCTCTCTAACATATGACACTTTGCAGGGAAATTTTTTTTGACAATTGGTGTCCTGAGTGTGCAGCATAAATAGCAGGCAGAGCACTTGCTGGGGTTTGATGGGGAGGTTTGATGGCTCCTCGCGTGGCTCCTCGCTGATTGGTCCGGCCGCCACCTGACGTCAGGAGGACGGGAATAAGGCTGGTGTTGGAGCTTTAGGAGCAAGACAGTGAACCAGAGACCCCAGCGCATCCCGGCACACGCACTGTACCGGAGACTGAGGGGGGCATCCCAGCATCGCGCGGCCAGCACAGCTCCAGGATCAGCCCGCAGAGCCGGAGGGGAAAACACTCTTTGATGAAATCTTTTTTTTTTTGTTCCCTTTTATTTCTTTTTCTTTTTTTTTGGCTTTGTGATTTTGTTTCTTTCTTCTCTTTTGGAGGACTGGATACGCTGCCATGTTAAAAACCAACCGAATTACGGTGTGAAAGCTATGATCTGAAAGCGGTTTCTTAAACGTGTCTGTGCTCCTGACCGGCGGCCGCTCCGCGTGCTGACCGATGCATCACCTCCAAGATCGCCGGGAAGAACAAGCTGCCTCCTGAGCCCATCATCTGTATCAGATCTGAATTCAGAATTTTGCCTCGGGCCCACTAACAGGACTGATTCCCCAGTTGTTTCATACCACTTGAGGACCTTCGGCGCCTTCTGCTTTTGTGTTTCCTCTTCAGACGGAGCCTGTTTTTTTTTACGCATACGGGGAGAGATCTGTAGTGACAGCTGATCGACTGGCCTCTCCGCGAACACTGACCCCGGAGCTGGAGGCGGAATCAGCAGAGGCAGAACTCAAACACTCGGTCAATGCTCGGCCTGCGCCGGTGATTGGGTTTGTGCGTGCGCGTCGCTCGTGGGGAGTTGCAGCGAGCCCAGCCGAAGCCATGGTCCACTGCGCCGGCTGCGAGAGGCCTATCCTGGACCGCTTCCTGCTCAACGTGCTAGACAGAGCCTGGCACGTCAAGTGCGTGCAGTGCTGCGAGTGCAAATGTAATCTGACCGAGAAGTGTTTTTCTAGAGAGGGGAGACTGTACTGCAAAAACGATTTTTTTAGGTAAGCCTGGGGGTGATGCTGGAGAAACTCACCGGCACCAGTTTGTTTTTATTGGGAGGAGTTCTTGTGTTGAGACGGCAGGAAAACAGGAACAGATACACTATGGATATTAATTCAGATTCAGCATAAATAATAAATATGTCCCTAAAGTCAATAGAAACGCTCTAAATTTTAAATATTAATAAGAATATTTTAAAGTTTTTATATGTATGTAGAGTATTTTTAGTATTTTTATTTTTTTCTGGGACATACATTTAAAATGGTCGACTACAAAAAAAAATGAACAAACAAAAAAAAGACAAGTAGGCTGAAATAAAATAAGAATAGAAATGGGGTAAAGGTTAACTCAAATAATAGCAATAAATGTAACAGTTTTTTTTTAAAGCCGAGTGTATATGTTATCTCATTTTACTCAAAAACGACAAAGTCACACTCAGCACCTGAGACAACGGGCTTTCATTAGCATGTGATTAATCAAAAGCTTATTTGGAATTCAATGGGAAACAAAAACAAAAGGACAGGACGAATATCCAACGCGTGTGCGCTTCTCTCTGAGCAAGGTGAAGCGTGAAAACAGGGGGCGGTTTGTTGGGGGAAGCGAGGAAATCACACCTGGGTGTATTTTTTCTAACATCGAGGACAGAGCGCCGGATCAAACCCGGGCTGGATCAGCCCGCTGGCCCGCGCTGTTTGCCTAGTCCGACTGAGGAGGACGTGATAAGTGGATTTGAATAGAGAACTGGTCGAGAAGATCAAGACCACAGACAAAACAACCACAGACACTTTGTCAACACGCCATCCACAGCAGCCAATATACAAAGTTGAACGGGGAGAGCTTTTGCTGTGGCAGGGTTTCCCCCTTCATCATACTTTTGAACTAACGTGTCCATTTATTCAGAGCAAGTCAGCGTTAAAGGAAAACACGACTTTACTGAAGGATGCGAAGAAGAAGTGATGCAGGAGAAAAGGCAGCTTTCAACATGTGGGAAGATTTAAATATTGTTGAAAACTAAAGAAAACGATTAAATGACAATGCAATGCGCTATGTTTGGCGTTAAAAATTACTATTATTTACTAATGCGATTATTATTATTATTATTATTATTATTATTATTATTATTATTATTATTATTATTATTGTAATAATGATAATAGTTATTATTCCTATTAGTACTTTTAAAAGGAATAACAACAGCAACAACAACAACAACAACAATAATAATAATAATAATAATAATAATAATAATAATAATAATAATAATAATAATAATAATAATAATAATAAAAGTAGAAATAAGGTTAGAGGTGAGAGATAAATTGTGCATAAGATTGTATTTAATTATTGATAAATAGTCATTAACTAGTTCTCTGAATGTTAGTAGGTTCGTTTATACTACATTTCTTTTGTCCTTGGTTGACTGAGTTCCATAGGAATAATTTTTAAAAGACCCATGTAAAACCCTAAAATCACAATTTTATATCTATTTAAAACATCCTGAAATTATAACGACTTCTGTTCCGCCGACAATAGATTCATTAGCACCTTTTCTCAGTTTTAGCTTCATTTCATTTAATTTATTTTCATTTCATTTTATTTTTTTAGGTATATGATGTGTGTGGACATAAGTGTTGACATTAATTGCATTTAATCAGCCCTCGTAAAACCTCCAGCACTCACCAAGGTGTCAAATATGTAAATCGTTTAACCTGTTTAGACAAAAATAAAAATAGAAAAAGGAAAGGAAAACGAGTAATTAACTGCGGCTCTAACCACACCTGGTTGTTTCTCTTTCTGCAGGCGGTTCGGTACCAAATGTGGCGGCTGCTCGCAGGGAATTTCTCCGAACGACCTGGTCCGGAGGGCCCGGAGCAAGGTGTTCCACCTCAACTGTTTCACCTGCATGATGTGCAATAAGCAGCTCTCCACTGGCGAAGAGCTCTACATCATAGACGAGAACAAATTTGTTTGTAAGGACGATTACCTCAGTAACATGAGTGTAAAAGACACGAACCTCCTCTCAGGTAAGGTGGCTGTCGTGGGCGTGCATGTTTGTGTCTGCATGTGCGTGCGCACATTTTTTACGCAAATGAATGAATGAATGGATTTGAATTGCAGTAAATGAGGATGATGAGTTCAGCTTCACATTAACGTTTTTATGTGATGGACCAGGAATTAGACGACACCCAAATAACCCCGAAGACTTCTTGATTCTACTGCTATTATTATTATTATTATTATTATTATTATTATTATTATTATTATTATTATTATTATTATTGGTGGTGGTGTTTATCCGCAGTGATTTTTGGTGTCTGGATCTGTTTGGATATTTATGAGGTGATCAGGAATCCTCATGTCAGATGTTTAAATTAGTAAAATGAAGCTGAATTCTTCGTATTTTTCTATAAAAACAGTTTGGGAACGATGTTAAAACAGACACTGTTTGGTCATTTAGAAGGCATTTGCAATCTCAAGTAAGGTTGCGTGTTTGTCCCACATATCTCTGGTCACCCACCTTCAATTGACCAGTATGTCACCAGTGATAGTCCCCAGTAATGAACGGTGTGGACGTCCTCCCGTCCCTTCCTGTCCTGTTCCCACTATAGTAACGGCATGCAGCGATCCCAGTTTATCTCCGGACTCTCAGGACCAGCTCCAGGACGACGTTGTCCTAAAAGACACGGAAATGGCGGCCCTCTCCGACAAGGAGACGGTCAACAATGAGAACGACGACCAGAACCTGGGCGGGAAGCGGCGCGGCCCTCGGACCACCATTAAGGCCAAGCAGCTGGAGACCCTGAAGGCGGCGTTCGCTGCCACCCCGAAACCCACCCGACACATCCGGGAGCAGCTGGCTCAGGAGACCGGCCTCAACATGAGGGTCATCCAGGTAAGAGGAGCGTCAGGGTATTTGCGTGTTAAAAAAAAAGCAAAAAAAAAAAAAAACGTCCCTAAACATACCGAACATCACACTCAGGGGCCACCTGAACGTGAGCAGAGGAGACCCTCACACCTTCTCTTCTCTAAATGGTGTCAGGCAGCGATAAGCCTAATAGGTGTGAAGTAACAGATTGCATTTTATTAAAAAAATAATCTTTGCCAAGATACCAGTCTGCGATGGTGGCACAGGACTTATCCCGGAGGGGCCCTCTCCTCCCCACCGCAGACCTCTCACCTCCTTCACCCCTCGTTAAGAGAGACCTCCTTCCTGCAAACACGGCGCTCACGTTGAACTCATTAGAACTGAGCATTGGCTCAAATAGTCAGCTTCATTTGGAAATGGGCTAATTTATAGGGGAGGTTTCTGTTTCTTGGCCCCGCGCAACGGGGCGAAAGCCGCCAACTGGTGCCGGCTGCTGGGAGCGCTGGGAGTTCTGGCACAGCGCAGCCATCACGCTTTGCAACCACGTTTAGCCATGCTGGGAGCCTCTCCAGCCAAGTGGAAAAGCGCAAATCTGTTTCAAGAGTCTTCAAGACTGTCTCCTCATAACCCGGAGTTACACAAGGGCCGGGAGAAAATTAGCAATATTATTGTAATAATCATAATTTATCTGTAGGCAGCTGCAGCAGAAAAGTACAGTAAAGTAAGGCATTGTACGATTATTTTACGTTTTATACTCATGAATAAAAATGGGAAAAATGTTTTATTATTATTAATATTTGAATATTGTGAGGTAGGTATTGTGAGTTTATAGGGATTTGATGAGAGTATAAAGTAGTAAAAAGGTTTTGTAACATGTGAAAGCACGAGGGATCCGGAGTAGGTGTGCAGGGTGAAGCATAATTAAAGGAAGCTGCTCTATAGATTATAAAATGATAACCCAGTAATATATCGGTAACAACCCTCCTATTAAGTATTAATTGGAGATTTGAAGTCCCCCCGCTGTCGCCTTCAGTCGGAGTAAATGGGGGGTTAAAAGATCATTA